CCTTGAGCTGAAGAGCTGAGGGACAGCGTCCAGGCCCAGAGTTCAAGCCCCATGACCGGAAAACAAAAAAACCTACCAAAAAAGCCAGAAGTAGAGTTGTGGCTCAAGTGGTAGAGTGCTAGCCTAGTGCAAATAAACTCAGGGACAGTGCTCAGGCCCTCAGCTCAAACCCATAGAACCAACACCAAAGGAAAAAAATAGACTGTCAAGTGGAGCCCCTTGGAACCTGCGCACACACGCACGCACACACTCGCACACACCAGTCCCTCAGCTCCAGCTGACCGCTCTGTCCTGGATCTGCAGTGTGCAGCACTGCAGGCAGCCGAGCAACTGCAGTTGATGCGAGCAGACCTGCATGGCCAGCACGCCACACTGCACAGGGCACTGCAGAAGTGGCTGGTAAGTGCTGCCCCTCCCTCCAGCTCCCCCTGCTACGGGGGCAGGGAAGTTTCTGGAGATGGTTGTCTCCTTGTTCTTCCAGTCCCTCTCCAGAGCAATTCAGTAAGCCTTGAGCAGAACAGGGACCCAGCCAGCCGCAGGTCCACGGATCCTTACTGGGCAAAATAAAAATGTGCCAACCTTCAGAAAAAGTGACTCCATGGCCAGGAGCTGACCTCTTAGGTGAGGGCCTCGTGGGAAAGTGCTGGCCTTGGAATAGGGGCCTCAGGCCTCTCCCTAACCTTTGTGAGCGCTGTGGGCCTCTGTGCACACATATGAGCCCACCCTGCAGCAGGAGTGAGTGTGGCCCAGGCCCAGCTGGCGGTATCTCTCGTCCTCCCACAGGAGTACCAGGGCAGGGTGCGGCGCGTGCTGCAGGAGGTGGCCGCCCGGCAGAGCCAGCGCAGGAGGCAGCTGCTGCGGTGAGTCTCCTTAGCGTCGGATGCGGCCCAGAGCCAGGGGCTGCGGCCCAGAGCCAGGGGCTGGGCCAGGGGCTGCGGGCTCGGTCCTCCACGGGCTGCTTTTTTTTTTTTAAAGCTACTCAGGAGGCTGGCACTGTGGGGCCATCCATCCACATCGCGCTCACTCCGAAAGGGCACCCCAGCCCACCCTTCGCTTCCTGCTAAGTCAGGTTCGAGGCTGCTCCTTCCCAGGAGGCCTCGTTCCTTCCTTTCCCTTCAGCACGGGTTATTCTCAGCCTCCCATGTGCTGTGGCCCTGAGGACTTTAGACACCTTCATTCTCTTCTGCTGTCCCCTAAAACATCGTCCAGTCCTTCAGGCAGCAGGGGAAGAAGCGCTTCCCCATCTCCTTATCACACTGTGATCACTGTGCAGTCACTGCCTGGAGCTAGTGTGTGTCCCTGTAGCACGTAAACTGGGGGTGAGGCTCTTTCTTGGTCCTGGGTACTACTGAGTCCGGGGTGCTCACGTGGGATTCCCCACAGCGGGTACTAAGCATGCGCTGTTGAGTATAGATGCTGGCGTGAACGCGTGCTCTGAGGCACCGTCCCTTCTCCCGGGCTCCCCTGCCTGTGCAGGTGGGTGTTGCATCGCTGGAGAGAGAATGCTGTGGCCCGTGCGGATAAAGCCAGGAAAACCTTGGCAGCCTATGTCCACTACCGAAGGACACTGTGTTCCAAGGTGAGGTGCAGGGAGGAAGCTGGTCACTGGGGGTGTGGGGACCATGTTCAATCAAGATGTGGAATTTGATGTCTTTTTTTTTTTAATTGTGAAAATACTATACAGAGGGGTTACAATTATGTGGGCAAGATAATGAGTACATTTCTTATCAAGCATTGCTGCCTCCTTTGTTTCCCCTTCCCTTCCCATTTCCCACCCCACCCCTCTCCCCCCCAAGATGTGGGATTTGAACGGGTGCCAGACAGTACATCCAAGAAACGCAAACCCCAGTGATTCTCCATCACGCACAGTCTTACATTTGTGTTAGCGTGTGTTTATTTTGGCTGAATTAGGAATCTGTGCCTTGGCAAATACCTGGTTGCTCACACTTACAATCCTAGCTACTCAGGAGGCCAAGATCTGAGGATCATGGTTTGAAGTCAGCACAGACAAACCCTTAGATTTTTATCATCAATTAACCAGCAAAAAGCCAAGTAGAAGTGTGGCTCAAGTGGGAGAGAGCCACCTTTGAGCAAAAAAAAAGCTAAGCAAGAACACAAGGCCCTGAGTTTAAGCCTCAATACCAATATAAAAGAAAAAAAAAGGCTGGTGCTGTGGCTCACGCCTGTAATCTTAACTACTCAGGAGGCTGAGAGCTGGGGTTTAAGATTCAAAGCCATCCCAGGCAGAAAAATCCACGTGCGCGCGCACGTGCACAGACACACACAATGTCCATCAGAATAAAACATGACATGTAATAAGTGAAGTGATCAGTTGTTATTGTTTTGTTATCGTTGTTTTGGATAGTACTGAAGTTTGAACTCGGGGCCTTATGTTTGCTAGGCAGCTGGCTTTACAGCTTAGCCACATTTCCAGCATAGCAAAGTACTTTCTAGAACTTGTGTGTGCTGTATACATGACTCCCTCTGGGAGCTCCAGCCCCTGTCTCAGAGAGGATGCTGACCCCTGCACGCTGCAGAGGCTCTGTGGAAAGCATATCCCAGAAACACAAGGACCTTAGTCTTCACAGGAAATGACCCAAGCCATCGCTCCAATCCCTTGTGGGTGGAAAGGGTGGCCAGCCTTAGCTGTGAAAGGAGGAGTTTAAGCAGAAACAGTGTGGCTGAGGTCGTCCCTGGCTCCAGGTGTTTTTGAAGAAAACAGATTGCCAGGATCCCTGAGAGGCAAGTTCACCTGTGGGAAGCTTCAGGTGGCTGGGGGAAGGGCAGTCCTGACACCCAAGAAGCTTCTGTGCGGGAGCAGCAGCTGCATCTGGAGACTCCAGCCTCTTGTCAGGCAACTTGTGAACCTCCCCCAATCCCCAGGAGAGGCTGGGGTTCTGCTTGGCTTCAGGGCTGGGAAGGGAGGGTGGAGTTTCTAAACTGTGAAGCAGGCCCCCTCCCCATGTTTGTGTGTGTGTGTTGTGGGATTTGAACTCTGGGCCTGAGCGCTGTCCCTGAGCTCTTCAGCTCAAAGCAAGTGCTCTACCACTGGAGCCACAGCACCACTTCCAGTTTTCTGGTGGTTTACTGGAAATAAGAGTCTCATGGCCTTTCCTGCCTGTGCTGGCTTTCAGCTGAGATCCTCAGATCTCAGCCTCTGGAGTAGCTAGGATTACAGGCGTGAGCCACTGGCCCTTGGCTTGAGCTCTTTTTAAAGTGTGTTGTTGGATTTCCTATGTATGTCTCAGATGCAGGAGTATATACTCTGTATACATTCTGCTTAACAACTTCTCAGTGGCATGGTGTAAAATATAAGTCCTTCTATAAGAAAGTCCAGAAGCTGCGAAGGTGGCTTCGTGCTATAGTGTTTGCCTGGCATGCATGAAGCCCTGGATTCGAGTTCTCAATACCACATAAACAAAAAGCTGCAAGTGGAGCTGTGGTTCAAGTGGTAGAGTGCTAGCCTTGAGCAAAAGCAGCAGTGCCCAGGCCTCGAGTTTGAGCCCCAGGACTGGAAGAAAAAAAAAAAAGAGAGAGAGAAAAGAAACAAAAAAGAAAGACAAGTCCAGAGCCTGGGGCAGGAGTGAGAGCCAAACATAAATACCCCCTCACCCCGTGAGGAGCCAGCACGTACCTGGCAGCGGGGCAGGAGACGATCACAGGTCCTCATCTGTAGGTCTTGGCCCAGTGGAGGGAGGTGGCGTCTATGCAGATCTATTACCGGCAGCAGGAGGCAGCGGCCCTCAGGGAGGCCCAGAAGGTGCTGGAGAGAGGTAAGTGGGGCCCCTGGTAGCCGGGTTGAGTGGTCTGCCCGCTGTGCCTCCGTCTCTGTGCCAGGTCCCTCTTGCTTGCCTGGAAGGCTGCAAATAACAGGACACTATTCCTTGAGTGCTGGAAGCTGTAAGTCCAAAATAAATGAGAAGGTCTGGAAAAGCAAAAGAACCAACCCTGGGATTGAGGCATAGCTCAAGCGACGGTACAGCGCCAGCCAATGAGCAAGAGAGACGGATACCAAGTTCAAGTCCTGGTTTTAGACCAGAACAAAAAAGGGCTGCGTTTCATTCCTAAGCACTAAGCAAAAGCCTTCCTCATCTCCCCCCAGCTGCTGGTTGTTCGGCACTCTTGTCATGCTGGGGGGAGGGGGGTGTAGACACATCCCCCAAACTCTGCCTCTATCCTCTTGTGTGTCTGCTTGTCTCTTCTGGGTCTCGGTGTGTTTTTCTCTAAGGACACCAGACACATTGGATTCAGTCTACTCTGGCATGACATCATCTGAACCCATTACATCAGGGCTTGTGCCAAGCCAGTTCACATTCTCAGCTTCCAGGAAGGACATGAACTGGGGGAGGGACTGTTCAACATAAATTTCTGTCCCCAACTGATTTCCAAGCAGCTTGTGCTGAAACACAACAAGCTAGGCAGCTCTGGTTCTGTGGGGCCAAGGGTTGCGTTGAGGGATGCGCCCTCCAGTGCTGCCTGTAGGTCAGCCCAGATTCCTTGTGTTGATCCTTTGATGTTCAAAGACCCCAAAGATCCTGCTCTTGCTCAGTCCTGGGAAGTCCCTTTCCCTGCTGCGTCACCATCCTTGGAATGGAATTCTGGGACAGAGGTCTGCGCCTCTGCCTGCCCATGGGGCCTCGGCTCATCAGCTCACGCTTGGTCCCCTCAGACTCAGGGGCTCCTGTCATGTGTGTGGCTGCTGTGGGCAGGGGCCTAGCATTCTTATCCTCACAGAGGCCAGACTCACCCCCATGGCCTCCATACCAGGCCGACCCTGGCTTGCCCGCCATCTGTCTTAGGTTGTCTCCAGACTTGGTTTGGCCGCTGGCAGGCCCGCAGGCAGCAGAGAGCTCGGCTGGAGCGGGCAGCCCGGCACCACGGGCGGCAGCTGCTGCTGGCAGGCATGTCTCGGTGGAAGGCACACCATCGGCAGTGTACCAGGAAGAGGGTGAGGCAGGAGGCCCCGGGAGGGGTCCCAATGCAGCCAGCAGGGGTGCTGTTGGCATGGGGTCCAGAAGGTGTCTTTCTGGGTGTGAGTGGAGGCTGGAGGCAGCCAGCCTCCGCATCGGGTCCCTCCGTGCTGCCTACCCTGGGGAAGATTGCTCAGGAGAAGCCTGGCCCACTCCCTCTGCACCCAGCCCAGCCCGCAGCATCTACAGGGCCTCCCCCTGCAGCTGCCCCAGATTGGACACAGGGCTGGGAGGCAGGGAGCGTGTGTGTGTGTGTGGCCGCTGACCCCTGGGTACTTTCTCCCCAGCAACTGCAATGGCAGGGCACCCGCTTCCTCGCACAGAGACTCAGCCGGGCCTGCTTCCGCCAGTGGAGACAGCAGGTAAGCTCCCAGCCCCCTCCCTGCTTCTCCATGCAGCTCAGAGGCACGGGGTGCACATCCTCAGCCCGCATCTGGCCGTCCACACCTAGTCAGGTGTTTTAATACCAGCCTTGGCCCACAGCTCTGTCCCTCGGCCCCTTCAGACCTGCTCCTCCAAGTGCCATTGGCAGGCCAGGCTCATCAGGGTCAGACTTCGCTTCCTACAGCGTTACGTCCCACACCTCTGAGTAACAGCCAAAAATCAACGTAAAATGGATTGTAAGTCTTTGCTGAGCTTGATAAAAGACAGAAATGCCTGGCCCTAGAAGGTCATGCTTGTAATCCCAACCACTTGGAAGGCTCATGGTTCAAGGCCAGGCTAGGCCAAGAAATTCCCAAGAGCCATTCTCAGTCAAGGGCTGTGCACTGCGGCGCACACCGTTATCTTATCTACTCCAGGAAGCCTGACAGGTAAGATACAGGCACAGGCAGGGGCAGGAAGTAAGACCCTGTCTCCAAAATAACTAGCATAAAATAAACGGCTCAGCAGTAGTGTGCCTGCCTAGCGATCATAAACCATTCTCCCCTCAAAAAACAACACAACGGCCAGGTGCCGGCGGCTCACGCCTGTCATCCTAGCCACTCAGGAGGCTGAGATCTGAGGATCACATTCAAAGCCAGCCCTGGCAGAAAAGTCCGAGAGACTCTTATCTCTAATGAACCACTAGAAAACCGGAAATGGCGCTGTGGCTCAAGGTAGAGCACTCACCTTGAGCTTAAGAGTGCAGGGACAGCGCCCAGGCCCAGAGTTCAAACCCCATGACCGACAAAAAAGCAAAAAAAAAACCCCAAAACAAACCACCACCAGCAACAAAACAAAAACAGGAAGGGTCACATGTTCTAGACAAAAAAAACCTCAAGTCCTGGAGTTCTTTCCTGCTGTCCTTGCTGGAGCCCCACCAGCTATGGTCAACTCCCCGTAGCCCTCCTGAGCCTCCACTCGCTGAGCCTTCTGCCTCCCCCTACCAGCAGCACATTCCTGCGCTCCCCACCTCCAGGCCATGCCCACCTAGGAGCTGGGCCCAGAGGACACAGACCTGCAGGCTTGAGGGAGGCTCCTGGGCTAACTCAGTCTTTCTGCCCACAGCTGGTGGCCAGGAGACGAGAGCAGCAGAGTACAGCTCGGGCCCTGTGGTTCTGGGCCGTGTCACTACAGGCAAAGGTAACTTCTCGTACGGCTGCTCCTGCTCCACGTGAGGGACGTACCTGCTGGTGAGTCCTGAATCTGAGGCGTGGGGCTCATCTGCTGCCCTTCCTGAAGGCGTGGGCTGCATGGCTAGACTTTGTGTTGGAGAGGAGGAGGAAAAAGGTGCGGCTGGAGCGCGCAGTGCAGGCCCACCACCAGCAGCTCCTACAGGAGGGCGCTACGAGACTCCTGCGCTTTGCAGCCAGCATGAAGGCGCTCCGGCAACAGCTCCAGGCCCAGCAGCAGATCCAGGTAGGCCCTGGGCCCCTTCTTATGGGGAGTGGGCAGGGCAGGGCAGGGCAGGGCAGGGCAGAAGCTGACCATGTCGCAGGCAGCCCACAGCCTCCACCGTGCAGTCCGACGCTGTGCCGAGCTCTGGAAACAGAAGGTGCTTGGCCAGGACAGGGAGTCTCGGCCCCCAGCCCTCGTCACCTCCAGCAGGAGAGTGACCTTTGAAGGTCCCCTTGCCAACCGCATTGCTGCTGGGGCGGGGGATGCCACGCTGGAGACCACAAGGCGGCGAGCCCCAAGGCCTCAGGGTGCCTCCAGCATCCAGACACCGGCCGGGGAGTCCTACCTTCCTGAGCTGTGAGTACTGAAGCCCCGAGAGGTCCCTGGGAGGGCAGAGCAGGTCAGTTACGACCCTGCCAACAGCTGAGCTGCTCAAGACTCAATCCCCTGACCAGCTCCCCCCCTCCCCACTCACACCAGCGCTGCCCGAGACCACCTTTGGTATTAGAGATTCCCTCCACCACCCCACTCCCCCCCCCCACACTCCCTCGCAGGGGCACTAGGGGCTCCCCAAGTGAGCACCACTGCCCTGACAGTGTCCTGCCTTAAGGGCCAGTGAAGCTGCTGGGCTTGGGCTCTGAAGCCAGGCCCCTGCAGCCCCTGTGAGCCCAGCACCTTCTTTCCAGGAGTGCTGCCCGCTCCACCAGGAAGCAGCCACGATGCCCACACTTCTTGCTGGAGCCTGTGCAGGGCAAGCGGCCACCAGGATGTGGCACCCTAGGGGGACCAGGGTAGGTTGGGTAGCTGTAGGCCCGTGTTGCGGTGGCCTGGGGCAGGTGGCCCCTTTCCTTTTCCTGACCTGGCATCCTGACCAACCTCTTGGCTTCCCTCTGCTCAGGCCCGGGAAGCCTCAGGAGCAGGATCCAGGCGTGGCTCAGCCAGCAGGCCCTTTCCAGACGAGGCCCTTCCTGTTTGGGGCCTTGAGCATCTCTGAGAAGCTGTCATTGCCTCCACCCTCCTTCTTGCCCCACGGGGTGGGCACACCGGGCAGGGTGAGCCCCCCACTGGACCCGTCACTACATCCACTCAGCAAGGGCACAGCTGTGACTAGCCCAGAGGCCACTGTCCTTACGATGCCTAGGTGGGGGTGGCGGGCTGAGAGCAGAGGGCGCTCAGTGATGGAGGGATATAAGGGAAGCGAGTGCTGGGGGTGGGGTGGTGAGGGAAGAGCCATGCTCTGGCCGTGATGAGTGGCGTGTCCACTCTCCCTGGAAGAGGGGACTAGGTGGGGTGGCAGCAGGTGTGGTGACAGGGTGAGCGTTGCCCGGACGGACGTCTTAGCAAGTTGGAGCTCAGAGCAGGCAAAGGCTTTCCACAGCTTCCTGCTGTGCCAGTGCTAAGCAGCCCCCGGGCACGAGGCTGGTGCGGAAGGCGAGCAGGTGGCAGGGCTGGGAGCTGGGCCTGGCCACGGCGGGCAGACACTTCTCTGAGCTCACTATCCACACTTCCCTGACAGGCATCAGCACCGCCCACTCCCCCTCAGACTAAGCCCCAGATGCCCCCAGCCCTGGCTTGTGGTGCTGCCTCCCATCCGCTCCTCCCCGGAGACTTCACAGTCCCTGGGCCTGCACGTGTGCCAGAGGCTGCAGGTGAGCAGCTGGGTGTCTTGGAGCTCCTGCAGGTTGGAGCTGCTACTCAGCCTCGTCCCAGAGGGCAAGATGGTCAAGGTTGAGCTCTTCTCCTCTGCACCCCAGGCCATGAAGAACTTGAGGCCGAGCTGGAGGAAATCCAGCAGCAGTTACAGCATTACCAGACCACTAAGCAGAACCTCTGGTGAGGCCCGGCATCTGTGCACACTCGGGTTTCGTCTGCATGCATGGGAGCTGCTTGTGCGTCTTGTTGCCAGTTCTCCCTTCCTCCTGCTTATGAGGCCCATGTTGGCCTCCCTGGGGACAGAGGCTCTGCTTGCAATGGAGCATGATCAAGCCAACTAAGACTCAAATCCTAGCTGGGTCCTGTTGCAGGGCCCACCCAGTGACTGGGTCCCAGCTGCTCTCGGTGAGCGCTAGGGTCAGCACACAGCAACCTCACACATTGGAGGGATCCAGACTGGTCCCCCTCCATCTCTGCGTGAGCAGAGAGTGGTGAGAAGGGCATTCTCATTTGCTGAGGAGAGCGGAGGTGGAGAGCGAATGAGAGCTGGCTTACCACACCAGGCCTGCAGCACAGGGCAGTGGGGCCCTTCCAGACGTTCTCCCCCCCCCCCCCCCGCATTAGAACTGGCTAACGCTTTCCCAAGCCAGAGTAGGCTTACTTGAAGCTCTGCCAAGAACACGCAGGCACAGGTGTCCCCACTTTCAGGTCCTGTCAGCGCCAAGCCGGCAGCCTGCGTAGGTGGCTGGAGCTGTGCCAGGAGGACCCAGGGCCTGAGGACCGGGACGCAGAGCAGCAGGTGCAGAAAGAACTGGAGGAGGTAGGCAGTCCCAGGCGGGCTCCAGGGGCGCCCCCACCCCATGTACTTTCCTCTCAGCTTGGCGTGTTCTCCTCCTCCCCCCTCCCCCGCCCCCAGGTGGAACTGCAGATCCAGCAGCTAACCGAGGAACTCCAGGTCCAGCGCCAGCCCATTGGGGCCTGCATTGCCCGCATCCGGGCCCTGCGGGGGGCCCTGTGCTAGGAGCACAGCAGAGGCCACTTCAGGACAAACCCAATAACAGAATGCAAAGTTACAACCATACCATGTGTTATGTTTTTATTTCAAAATGTCTTGCAGTTAAATGAATTACTGTTCAGAAGTCTCCCACTTTTCATACAAAATACTGTGCTACTGATACAGTTGAAAAAGTCCAATTTCTCCTGTAGGAGAAATTCACAGCGTCCCCAGGGTCAACTTGGCTCCCCTAGGCCTGCACACCCGTCACCGGGGCAGGTTTGCTAGGCGCTGACCTCACCCACCAAGGCTCTGCACAGCCCCTGGACCCACAGCAGCCATTTGCCCCTTCCCACTCCATCCGTTCACACCCCTCCTCCCCCCAGGTAGGCCAGGAGTCATCAGCTGCCACCCTCAGAAGGCACTAGCAGAGTTGGGGGCCACATGGTCAGCCACATGCAGAGAAAGGTTTTGCTTTCCTAACGAGCAGGGAGGGGGAGGAAAATTGGGGAACAGAGAATAAACGATGGGTGAACCTGCTCTGAGGGAGGGCAGGCCCACAGTCCGTGCCGAGGAGGCACCTCACCCTGTGTACGGGGCAGGGGGGGCATTGGGTGAGGCCCAAGCAAAAAGGGGCGTCAGAAAAGTCACGCTTTGTCAGCACTTGCCGCCTTCAAATAATAGCCCAACTCGGATGCAGGGTCTCCAGTTTATACAGTATTAGCAAGTGATCTGTGAGGCCAGCCCCACCAGTACCACCTCTGTGAGGCCCAGGCCTGGCAGGGGTTCTGGCTGCCTTGGGAATCTAGAACCACCTACCTCTGGACAGGCAAGAGCAGCAGATCATTCAGGTTCTACCAGGTTGACCCTGCCATGCCCCTTACCCACACAGCCTGGGGCACCCTATAAGACCCCCTCAGCTCCTCTGTGGACAGACTCTTCAGCAGCTGCAGCCAGGAAGAAGCCTAGAGGGAGCCCAGCGCCTCCCCAAAACGGATCTTCTGTCCCGCCTTCAGCCTGAAGTTGAAGTCCTTGGGCGCCTCAAAGATGAGCACGATGGTGGAGCCCAGGTTGAACTCGCCCAGGTGCTCGCCCTTCCGCATGGGGACGCCCTCCTTGTTGGCATGTGTCACGAAGCTGAAGTCATTGTAGGAACCCTTGCTGTACCGCGGGCTGTTCGTGTGCAGATCCTGGATAGCAAGGGACACAGGACGGAGGGCGTGGGCCCAATTGGCATAAATGGCACAAGGCAAACACTGGGGGCATAGACCGATGCCCCCAAAAGGTACCCTGAGGCAGTGTGAGCATCAGGTTCTACACAACCCACCCCAAGCTCTTGAATTCCTGTCCTCACTTGGGACCACAGCTCCTGACACAGGTGCGCGATGGGAGTTTGTTCCCCATCCCTCCCAGCTGCCTCCACACAGTGGAGGGCAGGCCCAGCCGCGGCAGCTGCACCGCAGACGCAGCAGGTGGACCAAGAGGTCCAGCCTGAGGGCTCTGCTGGGCTCCGGGCTGTGCTTACCCGGTCAAAGTAGATGCGAATGGAGCCCACATTGGTGGCCCCCACGGCGGTGAGCGAGAAGAAGCCGTGCTTCCAGTCCCCCGTCAGCACCACACGCTCGTTGTGGCAGAAGAGCTCTTTGATCCAACGCGCCATGCCCGGGTTCACAGACATTAGGGATCCTGGGAACAGAACACACTTTGTGTGCCCTGCCTACAGCCCGGAACATCCGTCACCCCAGATGCAAAGCAGCCCTCAGGCTCTGCTATCCGTGCGGCATGGGCCGGCCTGGGCCTACCTGGGAAGTGGCGGCGGTGGGAGACGGTCCAGTCAGTGGGCGAGTGGAAGCAGTGGTAGTCCCCAGGGGCCAGGTAGATGACACAGTGGTACAGCTCGTTCCCTTCGCGCGTGACCAACTGGTTTCGGAAGGACTCACACGAGGAGGCTGCATGTGGAGGGGAGGCAGAGAACAGTGCTGGGCTCTTAAGCTGCAAGGCAGGCTGGGGCGGCAACGGGACAAGTGTCAGCCGTGCAGGGCCTGCCCGTGCGGCAACCCACCTGGGTGGAAGGGCAGGTCCTCTGTGTGGGTGCGGGGGCCCAGGAACGACTCCAGAGAGTAGGTGACCCCCTTGACTTGCTCTACCTCACAGTTCTTCACCTGTCCAAAGTTGAGGATCTTCCCATCGGATGGGCTGATCTGCAGGCGCAGCAGAGGCTTACTGCCAGGGAGGGGCTTCCACCCCTGCCCGGCCCCCCCCACCCCTGCCCCACACTCAACATGAGCGCTGTGGCGCGAATGGCCCATGAAAGGGCTACTGCAGCCAGTTCCCCAAACCCAGCAAGAACTATTTCCGGCAGGAGGAAGGGGGTCGAGGGTGGGCCTCACCACGCTGTGCAGGCCGCACACAGGCCGGGCCTGCGGCTTCAGCTTGCGCCGGAAGAACTCGCTGAGGTTGCGGTAGTGATGCAGGTCCTCCACGGCAGCCTCCTTCATGTTCACCCCGAAGGTCCAGATGTACAAGCTGTACACAGGCCTGCGCAGCCAGTGCGGCAGATCCACCTGGTTGAGGCGGCCCCACGCCCGTGACAGCAGTCGCGTTGGCACCGACTTGTACAAGGCCACCTACAGGCCACAGGGCAGGAGGCAAAGAGTTGGCTCCAATGCCCCAGCTCCATGGAACCTGGCCTCTGTCACCAGCCCACCCTTGCCCCAAGAGACACTGAACCCCCAGAGGCCACTGGGGAGCTGAGGGGCCCAGGCTGGCTTTGTGATGTGGCTTTCCTCACAGGAACCAGACTGCGCCTGCGCACAGGGCAGGCATTTCCTCACTTCATGACTAGGTCCAGGAACAACTCGCTCCCTTAGCCCCGTCTCACTTCTCAAAAAGAAACAGGGAGGCTGGTGGGGACAGTGGGCATGCCACGTTGGCCCAGGGCACTGGAGAAAGTGGCCAGGCCTCGAGGTCGCGGTATCCTCTTAACCGCAAGTAACACCAATCCTCCTCGTTCTGTCACGGGGTCCTGAAGGGCTAGCCGGCACCAGAGGCCCAGCCCCACACAGGCCTGGGGAGAGGCTTTCTGGGCCTCAGCTGGCCGGCCCTTGGCCCTGCCTGCACTTGGGGTGTCCCAGAGCTCTGGCTGTCTCTCCAGCCTGGAGCACTTGGGGAGCCGAACGGTCAGGTGCCACTGCAGCCCTGCTGTGTACCCGAACATATCCAAGCACCAATCCCCCACGGGTGAAGTCATTTCATCCACTTCCAGCATCTCTTCAAGGAACTGAATCTGGCTCCGAGGCTCCACCCGGCCACCTGGAACAGCCGGCAGGCCCTGCGTGGGTCCAGACGCCTCGGTGCCTTGTGCACCATGGCCCCAGCTGGCTGTCGAGCAGCCCAGCGGCCAGCTTCCTCCTTGGAGCTGAGTGCAGCACGACCCCCAGGGCCTCACCTGCCAGCTCCCGCCCGGGGCGGCCGCTTGGTGACCCCCTCGGTCCTGCAGTGTGTCCTCACACGCGGCTCCCGCCTCCCTGCACTATGCTATGGCTTCAGAAATGAATTTGGATTCTTCTCAAAACTACCTCCAAACTCTCCTCGCATGAACGTAGTAGAATGGAAGACAGTTTCCTGACTGCCCACTGACACCGGGGAAGGTGGACAGAGCCCACACAGACACCGAGCAACACGACCTTAATAGTGGCCCTGGCCTTTCAACCAACGACCCTTCCCACACCCACTCCCTCACGGGCACAGCTCTAAGTCTCTGGCACCGCACACCTGGGCATGCGCACACTTACCCTGCTCACGGGCCTCCATCCCACCCGGCTGAGTGGCCTGAGGGCGCCGAAGGGCAGGAGGTAGTAGAGGATGGTCAGGGGCCACGAGCGCAGTTTCAAGGCGGGTCTGGACATGCAGCTCAGCTGGCCCAGCCTCCGCCGCAGGGCCAGCTGAGGAAAGTGCAACCTGCGGGCACACGTCCAGCACGGCTGGGTCAGTGCTGGGGGCTCGGTGGGACCAGGCACACTCCCTCGGCCTCTGCTACTCCTGCCCTACCTCCGCAACCTGCCTCAATGGAGGGCAAGTCCCCAGAACGGCAGCGCCCCGTCCCCACGCCACCCTGAGTTAGGGGCTGGGCCACCTAGCTGGCTGACTCATGTCCCCGTCCTTCCCCCCTGCCAGCTGGCTAAGAATGGGGGCAGCAGATGAAGGAGGGTCAACCCCAATTCCTGGGCATCTCTCAGGAGCAACTTGGGAGCGCAGCTGTGGCTCACCAAGGGCCCAGAAGGGGGAAGGCGGAGAGGAGAGCTTGCTTTGTGCCCCAGCTTCCCACACAAGGCCGGAGCCAGGGACAGCCCTGCCCGCACAGGCCTGGGGAAGGCGAGCCGGCGGCCAGTACACAGCGTGCAGCACGGAGGTTGGCTCAGTGAGTCCTTCCCTGCGTCCACTGCAGGACACCCGGCTGCGGGCCTCACCGCCTCATCTATTAAAGACAATACCTGGAAGGAAGTGTGTCTCACACGCACGCACACGATGCCCCCATCCCCCTAAGAATGGAGCTCTGACCGCCCTCATGGTCTCTAGAGCAGATTAGGCCCTTTAAAACCCATCCCCAGGTTTGTGGGGGGCCTCCCCCGCCCAGCCCCCTCCTCCCACTCGGCTGCCCCCCCCCTCCAGGCCTCAGCTCACTCGACCAGCTTTAGAAACTCAGTGTCACACAAGGCACAGAGGCCTTTCCCGGGGAACCCCGGGCACCTGACTGCAGCCAAGTCCCATCACATGCCTGGCCCCCCCACCTCAGTGTAAGCACAGGAGACCACGCCACTACCCTCTCGAATGTCCCCATGCCTCAGAGTCCTCATCTGCAACATCACCCCATGCAACTGTGCTGTCAGGCAGATCCTGCCTCCTGGGTGCTGAGCCAACCAAGGAACAAAGGCCGGGTCCAGCAGTGATGGCGAGAAGTCACTGTGCTCCAGGCAGGTGCTGCGCGGCGCACTAGCTGCCTGGCTTCCCTCCCTTTTGTCTCTCGCCCCCTCCCTCTCCCCCTCCGAACAGGTTTGAGCCAAGACAAACAAATCACGGCTTTCTCCAGCCCCACTCACTGCAGAAAGGCTGCGGGAGAAGGGAGCAGCTCTCTCCCCGGCTCCCAGGCAGGCGCAGGAGGCAGTGGCGTGGGGTGGGGGGAGCAAGGACCAAGGCCCCCCCCACCCGCGGCACCTGCCCCCTAGCCCCCCAACCTCAGGTACCTGAAGCGGGCTCTCCTACTCAGGCCCTCCTGGCCTGGCCCCTCCAGCCTCGGGGGCTCTCCCCCAGGCCCCCGACTGCCGCCTCCACTGCGGGGCCTCTGGACATGAACTCTGACCTTCCTGAGGTCGTGGCGGGGCACGGCAGGGTTAGGACGAGGCGGGCAGCATCTCACCATTTCGCTGCTGCTCGGAGCTCTGGTCCTCGCCGTGCCTCTGACTGACACATCGTGGGCAGGCGGCGCAGGGAGGCGGCGCAAGGCTCGCCGCTCTCCTCGCTCTCCTTTGTTTTTCCTCCTGCCTCCCCTTCCCCCTGCGGGAGGATCTCCTGCGCTGTCACGGCTCCAGGGGCGCTGCTGGTGCCGCTTCCGGGTTCTCTCGGAGGTTCACGGGGCGTGGGTTAGAGTCAGCGCTATTGCAAACAGAGGCACCGGTCACCTTCTCAGGCGTCCTGCTTGGGGACCACTCAGAGACAAAGCAGGCCCCTAGACTTGACCTGCTTTGTCCCCTAGGCTTGGCCTAGTGCCTACCATCCTGGGCTCACCCACTCCTTCCCTCATGGCAGCTGGGTGGGCAGCGGGTGGGAGAGACCCTAGGGTGCACGATCCAACTGGCCATGGTGGGGCAGTGGTGGTCGGGGCACTGCCAGGGCCTCTGGCTGGGGTGCTGCTGGGCTCAGGGAGCATGGGGTGGGAACCCGAGCCTGGTGCTCCGGGGCTCCATGGCTCCAGGCAGGCGGCCCCTCCCTCCTGAGGACCTGACCCATTTTGGATTCAGGTTACAAACGAGCATCTGAAGAATGAGAGGAGAGGGAGGGCAGCCGGGCAAGGTAAGGCTTTGTGCTGTGGACTAGGCATCCTGGACGCTGTGGCTGCCTCTTCCCCCTGCCTCTGAGCCTCCAGTTCCTGACTGACCAATCCCAGCCTCACAAGCTCTGTGTCTGGGTACTCTCAGGGAAAAACCAGTCTAAAGGGTGGGGAAGTGGCCGGGCCCGGGGCCCGGGTCCAGCACAGCTCTTTCTATCTTTGCTCCAGAAAGGCACTTTGGCCTGGCCCCTCCCAGGTTCTCTGTCCAGCTCTGACCACACCTCCCACTACACAGATAGCGGGAAGAGCAAACACACCCCAGCTGTTCCAGCCTCACGCAGGGCAGTCACCCTCCCCAGGAGAAGCGGCTGCACTCCACCTGGCCTCCAGACTCAACCGCAGGCTTGGAAGGCAGCAGGTGTCTGTCACCTATGAATGAAGAAATGTAGTCCCCAAGACACAAAAGAGACCCAGGCGAGGACCGGCCTAGCCTGGCCAACACACTGATAGAGCAGGAGCCTCGAGCACACTGAGACCTCCCTCCACCCACGTGACACAGGCCTATCTCAGCCAGAGGTGAGGGTCCAGCCTACACCTGCCTGCCAGAACCACTGGCTCCACCTGGAGCCAGGACAAGGTAACTAGAGTCTTGACATGAACGTGGATCTCTGTCCTGACTGAGAAAATGTCAAGGCCTGGCGGGGCAGCAGATCCCTCCAACAAGCTTTTGCCAGGCCTCTCTCCTAAGGGCAAGGGCAGCTCTCTGGGGAATGAGCAGGGCAGAGCACCCCCTCCACCCCCCCAACTCCACACACCCAGCAAGCAGTTGCTACAGGAGTTTTGTCACCAAGGCAGCACCAACGCAACAGACACAGCACCACCCATCCAAGGGCCAGGCCTGGGCCCTGTGGAGACCCCTGGTCACTCCCATTAACTTTCTTATGGAGACTCAACCATTCCTCACATCCTCACATCCACCCGCCAGCACGCCAGCGAAACAGAAGCACAGTGCCTGTGGGGAATGGTAAGCTGGGACCTGGCTCCTCTGGGGCTCTTTCCCTGTTCCAAGGAGCCCAGGCTGGATGAGTTGCTGGCTCACACCCAGAACTCCTGGGGACAGAAGCATGGCCTTGTGGGATGGCAGGAGAGGAGGGGATCCTGAGAACCTCAGCCTCCCACCAAGTTTCCCTCACTACCGTAACCTAGTGGGATGCTAGGTTAGGAAATGTCAACTCTGAAAATGCCAGAAAGGTACAAGCCTACAAATCTAGGCTGGTCAGAATCTACGCGCGCTCAGACTACTGTGGACATCTTAGTCCTTCATTCTCCCGGGCACTACCATGGGCTGCCAGGCCTCTTTTGCAGGTGGGAGCCCTTCTGAAAAACCTAAGGCCTACAAGGCCAGGGAACTGGCCTGCCTACACGGCTCAGCAGGGCAGGGCCACCAGGTGCTCCTTCCTCCCTACAGCAGAGGAAGCGCCTGAGGACGAGCTCTGGCAATGACCCAGAACTCCCCCATAGTCTGGAGCACCAACCTCCACCTCTCCACAGGGCAGGGACAGACAAGGGATTCTTGATCACTGTTCTAGCCCTTCTAAACTGAGACACTGACGCCAGGGTGGCCCTGCTCCTCAGAACACCACCTGTGGGCTCTGTAAAGTCTCCAGGGAGCAGAAAAATGTTCTGTCCCCAAAAATGGCATGGTCTGTCAGTCTGTGGGGCCTACGAGTGGCTGCCTTCTCACCTCCCAAGGCGAGGGACCTCCCAGCCAACAGTGCTTCCAAGCCTCTCCCTTCCCCAACCCCAAACTGCCCTCACTCCACAGCCACTGCACCTAGCAAGTCGCAGTGTCTGCCCGAGCTCAGGCTCTGATGAGGACTGGCTGAGGCAAGGAGCACTCACCCCCGCCCCTTCTGAGTCAAGATGGCTCTGTAGAGGTCAATATCAGACCCACCAGCTGGACTTGATGCTATCCTGTGAACTCGGAAGGCCATGTAGTAGGTAACATCAATGAAATCCTGGTGCCCTCCACCACCCCCATCCAGATAACTGGTCAAGGCCTTGGCAAGTTATAGGAAAGGAAAGTTGTCCTGCCAACTTCCCTTGAAGCTAGAGCACAACCCCTCAGCGGCAAAACCCTACTTCCACCCCAGCACACCCCAGCGCACCTTCCTGTCCAACAATGCAAACATACTCAGGGAGGTCGGAAAAGGGGAACACGAGGGCATTGGCAGCCCCTATGAAGGACAGAGAGAAAACAAGCAGCAAAGGTTGATGAACCACCCAAGGGACAGGGGAGACGGGGAGGAAATGCTATTCAGGGACCCCACTGTACCTGGGTGGAAGGCAACCATACCTGCCCCCAGTGGAATGGAACATTCCAACTGAAGTCCAGGAATGGAGGGGCTGTGGGCAGGCCTGGCCGTGAGTGGACGCAAGCAAGACTCAGGACTCAGTGAACTCAGAGTCTGGCACATTCCAGGGATGGAGCCAAGGGCTGGAGGGGCAGTGATTCCCACTCAGCTGCCCACCCTGGAGGGCTGGGCCTCCTGCCCTAGCTCACCTGGGGCCGATCCACAGGACGGCTGTGCCCGGTGGGCGACTGACCCATCATGGCCCGCAGTCCAGGACCAGAAGTGGACAAACTGTCACAAGTAGAGGATGGGAAAATGGATCCTCCCGGGTCCAACCAGGCAGATCATCTGTGAGGAATTGGGCACAGGAGGAGTGCAGAGGAAGAGGAGGGGGATTTCTAAGAGAGGAGGAAGGAGCGGGACAAAGAGACAAGCCAGGTCTTCCTCAGTGTCCCAGAGAAAAGGAGTCTCTCGTCAGTCAGCCGGCTTACCTCTCCCTCAGGCGCCGGCCCGCCCGGAGGCAGCGGCAGAGCCCGAGGAGCCGCAGGCTTCCCGCCCACCCCCGCACGCAGCGCGGCGGCGCGGCGGGCCGAGGATGCGGAGGAAGTGAGCTCAGGCAGCCGCCCCGTGACCGCCCGAGGGACAGGAAAAGGCCCCAACTTGGTCAAGTTAAGTTCTTTAGGTCCCTCGGGTTCCAAGGTTCCCTGTGTTGAAGGAGCCAACCAGCGGCCCCGAAAGTGCTAGAAGGCACTCCCACCCGGCGGGTCGGAGCGGAGCGGTGTTCCCGGCGGCGGGACGGGGCGGGCATCTCCCAGCGGCTGCGGGTCACCTGTGGCTCCGGGGGACTCACCGGTCAGGTCAGCGGGTCTCCAGCCCTGGCCTCAGGGCGGACAGGGGCTCAGGGCGGCCTCCAGGACGGGACGGCGAGGACGGGTCTGGAGGAGGCACACCCGGCGTTAAAGCCGCGGCTCCCTGTGAGCTCCAGCCAAGGTCCAGGAGCCCGAGGGCCCCTTTAAGGGGAGGGGCCGCGGAGGGGAGCAGGGGAGGGGCGGGGCGGGCGGGCGGGCCCGGCCTCACCCGCGGACGGCGCCGCCCTCGCCCTCGCCCGCCTCGCAGGGCACGGTGGGGCCTGGGGATGCCTCTGGAAACGGGGACCCGCCTTTGGCCTCTACCTGGCGTCCGGAGTGGCGGCCTGCCCCCACGCCACCCCCAGCTCTCAAGGAAGGGCCCCACTTACGGAGACCTAACCGAGGACTGGCCGGAAAGCCAGCTCCAGGAGCCCTTTCACCCCGGACGCCGGGTCAAAGGTGGGAAGAAGTCCTTAATTCCTCCACACCCAATCCTGCAGGGGCCTCCGGCCGCCCCCAGGCCCCAGCTCCCATGCCACACACGGATCAAATGCCCAGACCCAAAAAGGGACACCGACCCAAGAGCGAGGCCCACTCCGGCAGCCTGGGAAACCCCGGGGTTCTTTCCCCGGCTGAGGAGCCGAAGGCTCCTTCAGAGACAGGAAGATGAGCCAGGAGACAGGAAAGGTACTTTTCACAACTATCAAAAAGGCCAGACTTAAGTTAAAACCAGGACATAAATTATAAAAAGCAGATAAACTTCCAACGTACTCCTGCTGAGATTCCTTTATAAGATTTGCAAACATAGGAAGGGCTGGCTTTATACTTTGAAATAGTGGTTAAAAGAAAAAAAAATCTCAATTCCTCTGGACTAGGTAGAGACAAAGAATGAATGAACTGTCACGTTGGGCAAGAGGACCTGAAAGTTATCAGTGTTTTGGGTAAACCTCATCCTTTTGACCCACCCCCAAACCAGAAACTAAGGCTCAAGAGTCTCTAGACTGCCTTGTATTCCTCCAGTTCAGAGGAAAAGTCTCTGTCTTCCACCTCTGGCTAACTTTAACCCTGTGGTGCTTTCCATGAGTGGTGTGCAAGGACCTGCGGTTCTGCACGCAAACTGGGAAGTTGGGGGAGGCCCTCGTCCCCCCACTGGACCGGAGAGCCTGGTCTGCAAGGTCATCAGACCACCCCATGTCTGATGGGGTGTAAAGAACAGGCCTAAAGCACAAAAGATAAGGGACCACCACACCAAAAAGGAGCCTCATTCACGTCTGATCTGTGTGCCGCAAACTCGGTGGCTGGTTAAGTGGCCTCAGCAAGCTTGGTCATTTCACACAGGGCTCCAAGAATACTCTGACCACAAAGAATTTAATTTCAAAAACAACATCTAGAACAGGACAGACCATGGAGAGATGCAACTGGTGGTCACAAGACAACACAGTGCTGACAACAAGCACACCTCTCCCCTACATCCAGCCCAAGCAAGTGCTGTGGGAAGAGCGTGCCCCACCCTGGGCTGCAGGGGGACACGAGAGAAGACTCTGAACCTGCTTTCAAGGGCTTTCTTTGTACTCCACTCCTACAATGCATCTGTGGGAGCAGCGAGGCAGTTACCAGATATAGTCCCAGCCATGCGGGGACCTCAGGTTTTGGCACAGGCTGCCTCTCCTGACCTGTGCCCACAGCAACCACCACTGGCTGATCAGGACCTTCTGTGCACCCCTAACTCCTCCCCCATCTCAATGTGCCAGGGAGACACCACTAAAAATGGGATAAGAAGGAATTAAGCACAAAAAGATGCTGACACAAAATCCTGGCCCCACCAAATTACAGCACTAGAAAGCCCTCAGAAGACCATTCAGATTCCCCAAGTCTCCAATACTTGGAGACCAAGCCAGCTGGGCTCTCCATTCCTGCACAAACTCTGCCTTAGCTAACAGTCTGAATTCCAATAAGCTCCTTGTAGAAAGGCATGTGCTCCCCAGTGTGCCTTTCCAATCACTTTACTCCTTTATGGTGGGGACAGGGAACGTCAGCTCATAAGCTCTCTGTGGCACAAGGCAGGGCAGACGTGTAATGTGCCTTGCAAGCTTCTAGTGGCCAACTGCCTACACTGACAATTTTGTATGGCCTGTGAATGATGGTATAAATATCCAAACAGCATTAGGCACAAAAA